AGAGCCATGTTAGGTGGCTAGGTACGCGGACTGCGCGGTGTATGTGCCTGAAGCATTCCACTTCCATTGGAGATGGTCCGGTTCAGCAGAGAGGGTGGGGTTAGCAAGTATTGGCCAATCTCTTGGATGCCAAGAGTGCCCTGAATGTCTGAAGCCCACTGGTGCGCCTGAAGGCCGTCTGCCACCGTTCTGCTTTTGCGGCTGCGCTTGGGGATGAGGGCGTATAGCTGAGGAGCGATCTCAGAGATGGATCATCCGTTGATCCAGCGGTCCTCCCAAAACAATGCCCGTCGACCATCGCCAATGATCATGAAGGTGGACGCGAAAAAGAATGCATGTTCCTCGCTTGAGAACTGGAGGTCGAGGCCAGCCCGTGCTCTGTTTCCATCTGTGCGTGCGCTCCAGGTCATCTAGTGCGCAAGGCGAGGCCCGTGCGCTCCAGGTCATGGATGCCAAGGCCGCCCAGGCTGGTAGGGCGGCAGACGCGGCGCCAATTCACGTGGCAGTTGCCGCCTTGAGCATCGGCACGGCCAGCCCAAAGGAATCCTCTCTGGATCTTCTCAAGGAGTTTGAGGATTTTCTCCGGCGGCGTGAGCACAAGGAGCTGATGCAGGGGAATTGCACTGAGGACGGACTTGACAAAGGCGAGGCGACCAGCCTTGTTCATGAGGTGCGCCTTCCAAGTGGGCAGCTTCCCGGCAGTCTTGTCGACGACGGGTTGCAGCTGGGCAGCCGTCGGGCGTCGCAAGGTGAGGGGGATGCCCAGATAGGTGATGGGGAACTCCGCGAGGGGGCATCCCAGGGTCGCGACGGCCGGGGCGACCTCGTCGTCCGCGCAACGGTTCATCGTGGCCGTGCTCTTCTGGAAGTTGACACGCAGGCCTGACGCACGGCCGAAAAGCTGCAGGATCTCTCTGACCGCCAACGTGTCGCTAGGCGAGGGGTGGCAGAAGAGGATGACGTCGTCGGCATAAAGCGAGATGATGGGAATCGCGCGACGGGGGTGCAGCTGTTGCAGAACGTTGAGCTCGGCAGCTCGGTGGAACAAGCGCCCCAACGTGTCGACAACAAGCACAAAGAGCTGCGGTGACACAGGGTCGCCCTGGCGGAGTCCACATCGATGCCAGATCGCAGGTCTAGGCGCGCCATTAAGGACTCGGGTGCTGGCCGACGATAGCAGGATAGCGATCCAGCCGAGGAAGCGGTCGCTGAAACCGTATCGACGCAGGGCCTCGAAGAGAAAGGGCCACGAGACGGAGTCGAAGGCGCGGGTGAGGTCGAGCTTGAGGAGGATGCGCGGGGCTCCCATCTGGTGGAGGAGGCGTGCCGACTGTCGCACGATCAAGAAATTGTCGTGGAGGCTGCGCCCGGGGATGAAGGCGTTCTGGATGGGACTGATCAAGTCATTCAGCTTGGGCGCAAGGCGGAGGGGTAACATCTTCGCGAAGATCTTGGCGACGAGGTGAATTAGGCTGATGGGCCTGTAGTCGAACAGACTGGCAGCGTCGGCGCGCTTTGGGATCAGCGTGAGCAGCGCTTGGTTCAGGCAGCTGAATCCTCGTCCCCGGAGCGCATGGAGCTGCTGGAAGGCGCAGACGAAGTCATGCTTGACGACGGGCCAGTAGGATCGGAGGAACTCCGCGGTAAAGCCATCAGGGTCGGGCGCCTTGCGCGCTGTTAAGCGCTTTATGGCTTGCCAAATCTCGTCTTCACTAAATGGGGCTTCCAGGTCGTCAAGGACGGTCGGCTCGATGATGTGTTGCAGGTCAAGGGCGCAATATCGAGGGCGATCGGTCCCGAGCAAGGAATCGAAGTGCGCGAAGGCTGCCGCGGCCATGTCAGCATGATCAGTGAGCACGGTGCCGTCAACCATCAGGGAGTGGATCATGTTCTTCTGCTTGCGATAGGTGCACTGGCGATGGAAGAAGGATGTGTGGGCGTCGCCATCTTTGAGATAAGAGATGCGCGCACGCTGTCGCGCCAAAGTTCGCTCCAGCGAAGCAAGGCCAAGATATGACAGCTTGATCTGTCGGCGGAGCCAGTCCTCGTGGGGTGTTAGCTGGCGGAGCTCCTGGGCCGAGTCAAGACGCAGGAGCAGCTCACGCGAGATCGCGAGCTGGTCGCGGATGTTGCCCATGGCGCGAGCACTCCAGCTCGTGAGCATGCGCGCGGTGGCCTGCAAGCGCCGCATGATGCGGCGAAACGGGCTCGGGTCGTCCACCGAACTCCAAGCAGCCGCAACCACGTCCTGGAAGCCTGCAATGCGCGTCCAGTACTACTCGAAATGAAAGCGCCGATGCACTAGGGGCAATGGTGAGCAGTCAAGCATGAGTGGGCTATGATCGGAGACAACCGAGGCGAGGCAGCGAAGGTGGCACTCTCCGTGCCGCTCCTCCCAGTCCGCAGTGCAGAGGACACGGTTGAGGTGAACCAGCGTGGGCGGGGTCTGCTCATTCGACCATGTGTATCGTCGACCATTGAGGTAAACCTCCTTAAGCACGAGGTCATTGATAACACGGCGGAAGCGCCCCATCATGCGTCTGTTGATGTTCCCATTGTTCTTGTCTTCATCTCGATAGATCAAGTTGAAGTCCCCGCAAAGCATCCATGGACCGGCGCAATTGGCGCGTACGTCGCAGATTTCCTGAAGGAACGCGATCTTCTCATGATCCTGCTGCGGCCCATAAACAATGGTCAGCCACCAAGGTGCAGCAGCGCTCGAGTAGTGAGTGTGTTGGGGCTGAACATGTGATTGTCAGCAGTCACCATCCTGCTCTTCCAGGCCAGCAGTATACCGCCGCGAGTGCCGATCGCCGGCAGGTAAACATAGTCATCGAAGTCCGAACCGAGTGTTTCAAGGATAGTAGACATGTGGATGAACTCCATCTTGGTTTCTTGGAAGCAAACGATCGACGCGTCGGTAGAAACAATAAACGAGCGAATGGCGGTGCGCCGAGCGCGAGCGTTCAATCCGCGCACATTCCAAACGATAATTTTCAGGCCATGATCCATAAAAGCATGATCGACACAGGGGGCCCACACGCGCGGCTAGGCCTCGATCGGCCTACCAGCGATGACCGTGGTAACCGGTGCGACGGAGGGGTCGGCGGGGAGCTCGCGTCCAACCAGCGCCGCAATGGCCGCAAGGACGGTCTTGGGGATCGGCGCAGCAAACACATCATCGTATGCTTTCATGGCTTCCGGGGTGATCGCCTGATACACACCGACGATGCCGAGCGTGTGCAGTATCTGCACCTGCGCGCGTCGTTCGGTAGTAGGCGGTGCACCGGTCTTCGTCTTGGCCACGGTGGCCGAGCGCCCGCGCCGAGGTTGGGAAAAATTCAGCGGCTGCCTTCTTTGCTTACGGCCAGGAGTGGGGAGGACCGAGCTGAGCTGCCTGGTGGCCGCGGCGAGGAAGTCACCAAGGGTCCAGGAGCTTGTCGAGGGAGCACGCAGGCGGCTGCGGCGGAGCGTGACAGGGGGGACGCAAAGCGTGTCGCGCTTTTGATGGTGGGTGTTGGCGTCTGAATCGCCTCCTCATCTGATGGGCCGTCTGGGCTTTGGGGCCTTTGGAGGATCCGCACCTGGGCTTGGGCTGCCGAGGAGCTTGCGGGCTGGCAATCAGGCTCAGCAGCAGTAACCAGTAAGCCATGGGGTGGCGGCAAGGCGGCATCATATTGGAGATCACGCGCGTCCGTCCGCGCAGATTGGCCAGCATGCAGGACGGTGGCGGCAGGCGCTGATGCGTGCAAAGCGACGTTTTGCCCCGACAGAGGATCAACATCCACAACAGTGATGGGTGGCGCCATTGGCTGGGAGTTCGGGACCTCGCTGCAGGTGGGCTCGTCATCGGGGACCGCGCCCACCAGGTCGCTAGGCAACACAAGTGACGGGGTCTCGTCGGGCCCGACGTCAGGGGGGGTGGGGGGGTTGGCTCCAGCAGATGGGGGCCAGCTGGCGCAACGGCATGCATGTCCTCCCACTGAGGCGATCCTGTCGGGGGAGTTGGCACCAGCGGTTGGGAGCCAGCTAGGGCAGCGACATGCACGGCCAACCGCTGATGCGATCCTGTCGGCCTGGGATCTGCTGCCGCCGCAGCCTTGGCAAGCGCAGCCTCCTTTCTTGCGTGCTTTTTCTTTCCTCCCCTCTTTCCTCTTTTGGCTTTATGACGAGGGGGGTGAGCCGCAGCGCGGGTGGTGGGCCAGGCATCCATGCACCGGTCCGAGGGGGGCATAGTCGCCGGCGGCGGTAGGGAACACGCGGCGGCGCAGGCTCCGAACCAGGCAGCGGCGACGGCCACGCCATGAGCACGCTGCTGGCCACGGGAGCGCGTCCAGCCAGCAGTGTCCATAGCCATGCCATCAGCGCGTCCATCCGGCGCGGCAGTAGTGCGGCGGCGCTTGCGGCCACGGCCACGGCGGCGATGGCGGCTGCGACTCGGGCCGGGGTCGGCGCTGACATCGGCATCATCGCCACCCTCTTCGCCAGCGGGCGGAGCATCAATGCGGGCGTGGGTGTGGTCGACGTCAGAGCGGGCGAGGGCGATGGCGATCG